AGTCATTAATTACTAATAACGAAGGACCTTTAGAACCGCCGAAAATCGATCGCCTAAACATCCAAGCAGTCTTCCGTCGAACACATTGATTAACACACGTCTGATCAAGCTCCTTATCCTTCGAACGAGTCATATATATACGTCGGTGTACCCCTGAGCTAACTTAGGTTTCGTCAGTCCATATGACTCGCTTCTAATCGTTAACCTTCTAGTAAGCATGCTTGAGCGCAAAGGCTACTCGTTTAGTACGGTCTCTTTCCGATACCACAGGCTTTTGTGTAGTAATGTACCGGCGGATACCATGGTATTTCAGGAATCGGCGTAGTGTTCGTGGACAAGGCAGATTCGTTACAGTGGTTACCTCTGCTATTGTCATCCTGCGAGCTGTGGTATCTTGTCGGATAAAGGCCGTGATTTTGTTCAATAACTGCTGGCCTAGCTAGCCTAGTCATACCAGTACGGCGGGGCCTTCCATTTAGATAAATAACACGCCAGACCGTATGGTATCTGACATTAACCTGCCTCATAAGCTGCTGGTATGTTAAATACCATACTGTCTGGAGTATTATTCATCTAAATGGAAGACCTGTGGCCTGTACTGCTTTGGTCAAGCTCGTTTCGGTTCTGCCCGTTACTGTGGTGACATTCAACCTTATATATACCGAGCTCCAGAAGTTTTGCTACGTACAACTTGGGATGAAAAGGTTGATATTTGGAATCTCGCGGTTCTCATAAGTAGGCCATCAACTCCATTTCTGGACAATGCAACTAACTCATCCAAACATGGACCATTTTCCAACATAAGCAACTATTTTATGCCAGAGATTCAAACAAGAAACAGGCAAATGCTTACCATCTCGCTGAGATGATTGCGATTCTTGGACCGCCACCTAAAGAAATGTTAGAACAACGACTATGCTACAGAATTCTTTGATCCAGAGGGCACGCTATCCCTAACATCTACACGTCCTGTCACAAATCAAGCAATTCAAGGTCATTGGAAGGGAGCGGCACCCATTCCATCAACCACCTTAGAGCAGCGGGAGGAAATTTTGCAAGGTGAAGAGCAACAACTCTTTCCTGCCTTCATGCGCAAAATGCTCTAGTGGCGGCCAGAGGAAAGAAATTTTGCTAGAGGATTATTAGCGGACCAGTGGCTACTTTCGCCATAATTGAATAGGGCCATTTCCAGTTGACAGTCTTGAATTTATAACATAAATACATAGATAGTAGGAATATAATAAGGGGATTGATATGTAGGAAGGCGGTATTGAAAATCCAGGGGTGCACGGACCCAGTAGCTGGGGCCGGCCCCAGAAAATCCAGTTTATGCATAAATTACGTCTTGGCGGTCATAAACATATAAAATCTGCAGAATTATGCACACAATTAGCGTGTTTGCATGGTTTGTAATCCAATTTGGGGTCAGATTGAGTTGGGTCTGGGTACGAGCAACAATTCCCTAAAAAAATAGTTCTCTCTACTAACGAAGCATCTGGGATATAAGCTAGACTATGCTCGAAACAATACACCGTTATATGATATCTCTTAATAGATTATGAACCTGAATCAACTGACTTAGCTCGAGAGTAAAAAGTAGAAAAGGGAAGAGAGAGAAGCATAGCAGAAAAACTAGCTTGGTTATTGATTGAAAGCCGGAAAAAACTAGTTAAAGGGCAGGTTTGCCGGCCTAGATTCGAGAGACATCTCTTAATAACTAATATGCCGTTGCTTAACGGCTATTGTATTGTGCGTGCCATCTTCATGGGGGTGGGATTTATACAACACATTTCCAGCTTCATCCATAAAAGCAATTGAAATCACATCCTCTGTATCTGCCGGGTCGGTTTGTGACTTACGCGACCTAATCCCACTATGTTCGACTATTAGCTTGACAGCGAAATGGAATTGAAGGTTTCTAAAACGAAACGAACTAGATTTGATATCCTTTGACTCTCTCATCCTGGTTCCATATCTGTCAACACTAGAAAATAGTAGAAAGTGGCTTCTCACTCACCTCCTTTTCTTTGGTTTTAACTAATTTCCTCAAAGATGATACCCAGGGTCTAGGAACATGTTCATGTGTGACTTTTCTACCAGCGTGGCAAGCCGTGCAACTGTTGCAGTGAACATTGTTGCAAAAGTTATGCAAAGATAGATAAATAAGGTGGAAGACAATTGCCTAAGATGAATGAAAGTAACAGACCTAATGATGTCCTTAACCGAACGTGGGAAATGGTGTGTTTTTATACACGGATCGATTCTTATAATCAAGCTGTATGTCTCCGGCATCTGCACCAGGATCCTGGTCCTTGCGAGGGGCAGTATATTTGATGTTAATTGATATTAGTATAGAAGCTATCAATTTCAACTTCCTAAATAGGAAGCATTCTGTTATCCCGAAAAGTGGGAACGCAACGCACCTATGGTCTTAGGCTGCTCTACGTAAGACCTTACATTCCAATCATCAATTTGTTGCTAATAAATTAGTCAGTATGCGTTATACTACTGTTGGAAAGCCCACAGTGCTAGCAGAGCTATTGATATACACCGCGATGACAGATGATTCCGCGCTATGACAGATTGTAACTATGAGGAGATTGGGGTCTTTTTTACATAATTTGACCCTTAGCGAATTTGGGACGCAGTATTTAGATACCTGGGGGTTTACAGAACTTCACCAAATTCTACAGGATTATCTTCGCTGATTAAGACGAGATAAACCCTCATTAATTGCACTGATACTCGTAGTAGAACACCGCTCATATGGGCAATTTGGCTGGTTTCGTATGTAGATCCTATTAGACTATGTATGGTGCCGATCGCTGGATGATCGCCATGTGAGCGTCACGGAATTAACTAACTTAAATAGGTTAGTGGCACTTATAGAGGACTAATCATAAATCCAGACCAACCAGAAAGCTGTTTTGAGTAGTCTCGCGGCCTGGCTCGTTCATCTCGTTATCCTCACCTCACTTCTTTGCCATCAAGTGGCACCAAAAACTATCATCATGATTACAGAGATAGCCCTGCTACCTGATACTCTCGCTTTGCAGCGCAATCAGGACCTTATGAGGGAATTTGAGAAGGCACTCGAGATAAATTTAGCAGTCAATTTGACCACTCTCATCCCTGATTCCTATTTTTAAAAATATAGACACACAACCACAAAGTTTAGAAACAAAAATAGCCAAGCTCAATCAAAAAACCGTCAAGGAACTCTAGGACCCCCTTAGAAATGATCCAAAGGTGCACTTGCTTTCGATTTTCCCCCAAACTATGCTCGTCGTTGGCGATTCGCAAGCCAAACCAGTGAAAAAATAGCAAAGCCTGATATAATGGAACAACCGAAAGTTCCAGACTTTCGGATATGTCTTGATAGTGTGGAGATAGCTGAGATCATTTTCCCACTTTCGAAAGATGTGACTACTATGCTAGTGCCCTTCTCGGATTTTTCTAATGGAAATAAGAGTACTGAGTAGCCGCTACTCTTAGTACCGCGACTAATGCTTTGGAACTCCAAAAAGTTATGGAAAAATCCGATACGGGGCATTGTCGTTTAATGCAATTATAATATTATTGCAAAACTTATCACGATAAACGGCAACTACACAGAGTATACGGCCTTACGATACCTTGAAGAATATGTTCTGGAAATTCCTGCTCCTAGACCCTATGCCTTTATCAAATTCGGAACTTTTTATAAGATTTTCATATCCTATATTCCGTCTATGACATTGAGCGAAGCATGGCCGTATCTCTTACACAAAGAGAAGATTTCTATGAAGTATCAGCTAGATGTCATCTTTAGGAAGTTGAGGATTGTGAGGAGATAGATGGCCACTGTCTGGGAAGGTTCGGTAGCGAAGGAGTAAATGGACACGAAACCAATAGAATCGTCAGCACGGCCGCTGGATTTGACCCCCCATCATGGCAGCACTACATACGCCTCTTTCCTCCGCTCTTTTCTCACAGATTCTGTTAAAGGGCTGGCCTTGGCCCATGGTGATATTAGACAAGATAATATCATGGTGAAGCTGAATGAAGACAATATCTGGGTAGTTACTGAGATCATCGACTGGGAAGACAGCGGATTCTATCCGAAGTACCACGAATGTACTCAACTGACCAGGACATTGAGTAACGAGGAAGATAACTGGTATCTCTATTTGCCAGCGAGTATCTCGCCGCTGCAATTTCCGGTACGTTGGCTTGTTGATCGACTTTGGGATATCCATATCAAAACCACCTAGTTGAGTCTCCGTGTTTGAAATTTATTTATATGTGTGCTCCCCTTCCTCTACACCATGGACAGAAACATGGAGTGTCACGGAGTATGACATATATCTGCAGTCAGACTCATTGTTATAGAAATAGCATAAAGATTAAACCAAGATTAGTTTCCTCAATCCGCGATCCTTACAGACTTTCAGCCTATCAGGTCACACCACATCACGTGATATTGTGCTCGTACACTTAGGAAGGCCATTTGCACAGTTAAACTTCGCTATTTCGAATTTTGAGCACAATAATACGACTAAGCCCTTGTCTAATGGTGTTCGGTCCTGATAGTAGTGTTGTAGACATATAATGACTAGTATAATGACTATTCGCGTAGAGCTGGATCTGTCCTACTGTCTAAGTAGCTAGTGAGCTGGCTAATGGCATTTCGTCTAGCACTCAAAATCTGCAGCGATCTGACTTCTTTTCAAGATTTTGACTCTTTGTATGCATAATGTATGTACAACATACTACTCGGCCCCGTAGTCCGATATCTGCCCGCGGGGAGCATGTCATCATTCTGGTCGGTTTTGATTGGTGCTGATTGGTGGGGGGCGATGAGGGGACAAAAGAAAGTTAGTGTCGTTTGCTGAAAAAAAAAAGTAAATCTGATTTCCGATACTCACCTCGTTTATTATTAATATCATCTTGCAAATCTGAGAAGGTGACATATCTGAACTTATATCAACATCCAACTTCATCCTTGAAACGTCTCCATCATGGGTTCCGATTCCCCTACAAGCCCCAGGGCCTCAGCCATTCCGTCCCACATGTTGAACGGCAGCTCCCCGCTGCATCCAACGGGCAGCCGTCATTCTCGTGAGCGCGAGAGTCTCAATACATCCATTCGTTCCTCTTTTGAGCCCAGAATTCCCCTTGAATTTGAATCTCCTCAGACCAAGACCGAGACCAAGACCGAGACCGAGGCCGAGGCCGGAACTGAGACTGGAGCCGCCCCCGCCCAGTCCGTCTCCAGTGCCTCCGTGCCAATTCGCAGCGTCGCGCCAGTGCGGTATGTATACAGCGATATAACCATTAATGATAATGGTGCTTTCGATTCCGTTGCTAATCTCTGCCTAGTCCTACCTTGAATGACCCTCCCCGCGATCCCCGGGATGAGGCCGCCCCATTGACACCTGTAGCCACTGTCAGCCGGCCACAGAGCCCCTACACATTGACCCCTCCTATCGACTTTGACGGTCTCAGCTGGCCTTGTTAGTGATACCACCCCTCTCGGTGGACGCCACTGTATTGGTAAATGTCTCTAATCACCGTCACCTAGGCCCCGGAACAAGACAGCGGAAGGAGTCAACACCGGAGGAGACCGCGGAACGGCTTGAAAAGATGTCAGGAGCTGTCCGAACAATCCTGGAATGTATTGGCGAGGATCCGGAAAGAGAAGGACTTCGTGAGACCCCCATGCGATATGCCAAGGCCATGCTTTATTTCACCAAGGGCTACGAGGAGAATGTTCGCGATTTGGTCAACAACGCTGTTTTCCATGAGGATCACGATGAGTTGGTCATTGTCAAGGACATCGACGTCTTCTCGATGTGCGAACATCACATGGTACCATTCACCGGAAAGGTAAATTGCCGCAGATATCGATACTGTGATTATATTCATTCTAACAATTTACAGATGCATATCGGATACATCCCTGACCGCCGTGTCCTTGGTCTATCAAAGCTGGCTCGTCTGGCAGAGATGTTCTCTCGCAGACTGCAGGTTCAGGAGCGTCTTACCAAGCAAGTTGCGTTGGCGATTTCGGAGGTCCTCCAGCCCCGCGGCGTTGGTGTCGTTATGGAATCTTCCCACCTCTGCATGGTCATGCGCGGTGTGCAGAAGGTTAGCAGCACCACTACTACTAGCTGTATGCTGGGATGTATGCGGTCCAGCGCCAAGACTCGCGAAGAGTTCTTGACTCTGTTGAACCGGAGGTAATGCCCCATCTCGCCAACCAACCTAACACAGGTTGTTGATTTTTGAATTTCTGGAGTTGGTGGCTACCTTTCAACAGGTTTTGAGTGGTTTGCTTTTTTACTTTACATCTTAAGCGTGGATTGGTGTTTCTCTTGTCTTCCCTTCTCTCGGTTCTTCTGCACATACTCAGGCAAATATTTGCCCTGGTATCTTGTCATGTTCCTCGTCCATGAAGCTCACAGCCTTCTTCTACGGGAAATGGCAAACACCCACTTTCTCGACCCATGATGGTCCGAGGAAGAAAATCAACCCCCCTCATTCCCTATCCCATATGCCCTTTCCCCTACCATACTAAAACAATACCTCAAGAGGCCTTTGCTGTACAATCTATTGAGATCTCACTCGATAGTACTAGCAAGGCTGTTTCAACACTTGATCTCATGCCGCTTACGAGCATCCAGTAGGAATTCTGGGTGCTATCCACTTAGATACAATGTATGTATTAGAACCAATGTACTTATTAGAATCAATGTACAATCTCTTTCTAATTAATCTCTCTCTTGTTTCCTCGTTGAGAACAGAAAGACAAAGCTCTGGTAATGGTGTGTTGATGTCCAGCATTGAAAAGTGTCGAGTTGGAAGGCCTACAACTGATTTTTATAGAGCTATCTGGTCTCTCTTAGGGCTTTTATAAGACTACTCAAGTTCTCTAATGCTTCATCAAGGACGAGGAGTAATGTCTACCACCTGCCTAGGTCTTGATGGGCTGTCAGGTAGCTCTGGTCCCTGAGTGACCTCGTCCATTTGAAGATAGGTACTGCCAGAGGCCCCTTCAAACTACACTCCTCAGCGAGGACATAGTTGGCGGTGAATGACTACCAGTTGCACGTGCAAAGGCCTCTCACACGTGCACCCCAGGCTCGCTTGTTGTTTATATCTAGTCCTCTCGCACACACACTCTTCTTTTCCTTCCCATCCCTCTCGTCTCTACTATCCCATCTCTCCATCCATCCATTGAAGTCTCCATTCTAATCTTGCTCTATTCATCTTCATTTCGTCCTACAAACTATTGATTACTTCTACTTGCGCTTCTTGCACGTTTTCTGCTACTTTTTCTACTTGACGCACTTGTGCATCATCTTTCCAATCCTACCTCTCAAGGTCTCTTACCACAACACACGACGCGTCTTCCACGGTCACTAAGGTGATATCGGTATCATCTATCTCTGTAAGTTGTCTGAGTCAATCCTGGTTCCTTGATATGTGCTGTACACAACACTGGGCTCCTATGCATATCACAGGTTTTCTGAATGAAAGTGTGATGTGGCATTTGCTTGTCTATTGTTTACTATCATTATTCTTCCTGCTATGATCTATGAAGAATTATTTGGATGTATGAGGCGCGTCACTAATCAGTTTCCTAAAAAAAGGTTCTCGCGTTCAAACCTATCGAACACCCTACAGTGTACCTGAAGTGTTTGCCCTAACAACACTGAGCACCACAGGTATATGAAACGCGTCTGGTTGAATCAAGCATGCGACTTACTAACGTGGAAGTAAAGGGTCAAATAATTTATTTGAACACAATGGAGAACGACGCTCAGCGCTCGGCCAGTGATGACTCTTCGAGTTCCGGTCTCTCTTCCCAGGATGATGACCACGACCTCGCCCAACCCACTACCATCAATACTACTACCGACACTAGATCCTATTTGCCCTCTAATGTATCCCTTGAAATTCTCCAGGCGCACCTAGACGCTGACGGCTCTGACTCTTCCGATGCTTCTGGACCGCGGGTACATCCCGACTTCTTCGTCCATCTTGAAAATCTACGAAGGGTCAACGAAGCCAATCGAGTCAACGCACGCAGAGATGCTGAAGCCTGGTATGAAGCTGCGATGGGGCACCCGCCTCAGCATCAAGATCCTTTGATGTTCAACGGGTCCCAGCATGAAGCCCCTCAGATGCACGATCAGCCCCAGCATGATGCTCCTTTCATGTTCAACGGGCCCCAGCATCAAGCTTCTCAGACGTACAGTCAGCCCCAGCATGATGCTCCTTTCATGTTCAACGGGTCCCAGCATCAAGCTTCTCAGACGTACAGTCAGCCCCAGGATGGAACTCCTTTCATGTTCAATGGATCTCAGCATCAAGCCTCTCAGATGTACAATCAGCCTCGGCATGATGCTCCTTCTATGTTCAACGGGTCTCAGCATCAGGCTTCTCAGACTCACAGACAGCCCCGGAATGAAATTTCTTTCACGTTCAATGGGTCTCAGTATCAAGTTTCTCGGGCGTCCAACCAGCCCCAGAATGGAGCTTCTTCTTCAGTGCCTAACCAACCCCAGAACGGAAGTTTCCAATTTGCCAACGAAACAAACCAACCTTCGTACCACGCCGGTACCGGAAATGGATTGCAGCCATCGGCGATGGGCATGCGTGAGCGATATGAAACCCAAGATTCCACTGCAGCCGGGCCATCCGAGCCGTCGCTACATGTTCGGTTTGCGACACCTACTCACATTGGTCCTTCTCACCCTAGAGACAATCCTCATCCGCGTCGGCCTCCTTCTCCCTACCCTGTGGGGTTCCGTCGCCCATATGCTTCTGGTCCAAATTACATGTCAAATCCTCCCTTGCCACCGTATCCTTTGCCCTCACCTCCTTTGCCAGCACCTCCTGTACTAGCACCTCCTGTGACAGCACCACTGCACCCGGATTATACCGAACACGGGAACCCTTACAGACTCGCATCTGAGCCAGAATTGCTTCCTGAGGATGCCATCACTCATGGTGAAGAACGCATTGTGCAATCATGGCTCATTCGGCAGCAGCTTATTGCCGGAATTCCTCCTCGGGAAATTCAGCCCATGGCACAAGCACGCGAAAGACAGCACCGAACCCCTCCTTACATCATGCTCAATGAGAGCGGTGCCCATATCATAAGAATTGAACCTGCCCGATTCGAGGGTGCCATGCTTCCTCTCACAGGTCTTCCTTGGCTGCCACAGCGCGCAAATTCTAGCGCGCCAGCCTCATCGGATGCACCCGATGCTTCGGGTATGCCCACTGGTCAAGAAATCGCGACTGGTTCAAGCTTATCTAGTACTCTGAACTCGCCGCTTGACCCAAACTTGTTGACTGCACCAAGCTCCCCGCGCGGCCTAGCTGCCGCCAACTCGCCGGTTGCTTCGCACCTTCCAGCTCCTGCAACCCCACCAACTGTCCCAACTCTCCCGGTTAATTCACGCTTGGCTGAAACTCCAAACTTGCCAGTCACCCCGGACTTTCCGGCTAGTCGAAATGCACTAGCTACTACAACTCTGCTGGCTACTTTCACTCTGCGGCCTGACTCTACTGTTTCGGACCCAACTTCTGTGCCAGAACAAAATTCGGCGAACCCAAATGAGCATGTCGCGGGAAGTCTGAACCCGGATCCGCGTATGGTGGCATTCTTCCAGCCTCTTAGGCTGCATGAAACGACCCATTCCGTCTTGGCTCCCGCGGAAATGCGCGTAGAAGCACCAGGCACAACCCAGGTCGGCGCCAACGAGAACCGTCAAACTTCCGTGGCTACACTGCAGTCGCCGTCGCAGGGCGGCATGCCCCTGACTGTGCAGAACTACACCGATGCTGACTCCATCGGTTCCCCGGGGGCTCCTGGGATGGTCGTGTCTCCCGCCCGCTCTCAGGGCCAAGGGTCCTCTACGGGGACCGACACCGACAACATGCCTTCCCCCGGGGCCCCCCAGCTTGCGCTGGAGAACCGCGACGAGCCCCCCACTCGTCGTGTGCATCGGTTCGCAATCGATGGGGTGGATGAGTCGGCCGAGGTGGGCCGATTCTCTGCGGAAGCCTTTGCTTCCGGTGATCAATCCTCCGGGGGAGGGTTGATCTAAATTTTCAACGTTTGTATGAGTGAGGCCTCTCTGAGGCGAATAGTGCTTACTTCGTGAGCACGAAGTGAACGGCGTGTGAGGGGGTTGTCAATCTCTGAAAAATGAGATGGAGTATATGTAGAGTATTATTGAATAAACTTGTATGATTACAATTGTTTCCCATAGTAAAGCTACTACCAATGCACGTAGAAGCAATTTCTTTGTATGTCGTCGCTTGATCAATGTACCACGGCAGGTCACAGCTGCCTTTACCAATGAGCCTGATACAGAAGATGAGACAAGTTTCCACGCGCGTCGCAGGCGTTTCCTTACCAATAGAGCGCTAGGCAAAAAATAATACTTTGCACTACTGGGGCTAATCCCAAGTCCTGCAATGATAGGACTCTCCATCACATCGACCCTTATGCAGATGTGAACCGTCCTATACAGCTTACCTTGAAGGACTTTGACCCCCTCATACCGCTCCAGCTCGCCTGCCTCGACTTCTGTATCGAGCTCCCGAACCAAGATCGATGCGAGCGAATAGGAGCGCCCACTACTTACTGCTCTAGCTGTACAGGGTCTCGGACTGGATCCAAATTGGGATTAGCCCCTGTAAGAGTAGTGAAATCGCTGTGACAATAGTACTGACACAGATATTGTTGCGAAGTGCGGTCTATTTATGTACATACAGGGTCACGTGGCCTACATGTGACCCCACGCCCAGTTCCGGCACAACTTCAACATGCCCATGACATCAACCTACCTCTTTGCCTTCTCGGTTCCTCGCTAAGCTGATTCGGCGTTGCGGGCATCCCTTTGTGCATACTCCGATAATATATTATGTTGAAACTAATTCCCTAGTTTTTCTGGGGAATGTTCCTTTTTTTCGGGTATGAATGGCCGGATGAGAATGGCCGGGGGTTTGTGTTCCAGCCCATCCCGCTCTATCTCGGGCTGACTTTCAGGCCACGCCCTTGAGTTCCCTGCAACCACATCCATATCATGAGATGTTGCTTTCTCTTAGATTACAAACTGTCGATTTTTGGTCCTGCAATTGATCTTGCTATTTAATATCGGAGGCGGGGTGGGCTGCGCGCAGGGCCTACCAACAGGCCGCACCTTTGGGGGCTTGCGCATTCTACTGCATTGTACTGAATTGGGGTGGAGGAACCATTGTTTTTAGGCTTTTTCTGCCTTGACCTCTCGTACATTGACCTCATTCGGTATGCTTCCCACATTGTCGCCGGCATATTGTTTGGTCAACCGACTTGGAGACCTGGACATCACCAACATGAATTCGCACCCTTGTGTGGCAGGACCATGAAGATGCAGGGCTTGCAAATGTTGGCTTGAAACAACATGGCGAACAGATTTCCGCCCGTGTTCCATCTCTGTCCCGGTGGTATTTGTCCCCTGATAGTCAACCACGAGTCTATCTGTTGTAAATCACGACAAAGCTTCATTCCAACGCGCACTTTTTTCCTGGTTCATGATGACCCGGACTTCGACAACTGACCAATCTACACCTTACAAGACATCGAAGAACTGAATGGCTGGGTGTCATACAGAGCATCAAAGATGTTTGCGACAAAGAATCACAGCGTGTCAATTCGGTCCTTGAAATTGACCAACAGCTCTATGGTCTTGGGAAAGAATGATAAGAGACTCCAGCCATTTATTTGATGGTGTGACCTGATAATCCAACGGGGATTGTCCTGGTGCCCCGGGAATGTTGGCCCATCTGGCCTTGTGCAATACGTAGATAGTTTCATTCGTGGGACAACCCAACGCAGTCTCAGTTTGGCTTTGTCGAAAACAGGCTGCTGTACAAAAGGGCATGGCGAGCACAAAGCAGACAATATGCTAGCAAGCCGGCTAGCATGCCTGTTTTATCCGACACCTGGGCACCACCTGATCAGATCATCACGTGCTAGCAGACACAGACTGGACACATTCGGTATCCAAAAAGAAACTCGGAGAGAGCAAAGGAGAAGTACACGTTGCACTTATCTTCGACATCTGCACGCCATCCCCCAGCATCCAAGTGTCGAATCAAGTTGTAGAGCCGCAACACTGATCAGTCATCAATCCCGAGGTCCATGGGTTTCTGACCTTGAAAAGCCCACCCTCCACGGCCAAGTAGTGTTATTTCTTTACCTGAGAGGTTGAGACAGGTGTATATGATAAATCTGAACTGGTGCGTGTGCCCCATTCAACCCTCCCCTTGCTTATGTTTTCGTTGTTCACCAGCGCTTGATAGTGTACACAGTTCGGATCTGGAAGAACTGTCGTTCCGAGTCCCCCAAACCCGAAAGACTTCCGCCTGCGATCGCAGACACGCTCGAACGCCATCGCTCGCTGCGCTTTCTCATCATTATCTCTACTTCAACGCCTCTTCCAACCACTGGCCGTGCTCACATTATCTATTTCGCCCTGATTGAGCCAGATGCCGTTTGCGACGTCTACATGGCTGGGTCCCGTACGAGTCCGGTGTTAAGAGACCAGTGGAGCGCTGACCCAGACCGTGATCCCCGCGACATGGATAGACGGAGAGGTCGAGGGTCAGGCCGCGATCGAGGGAGAAACAGAGGTCGTGACCGAGGCCGCCCATATCGGCCCAATAACCGCAATTTCGATCGCCTGGGGCGGTCGCCACCACGCGCGTCCCGCTTTGGCCCTGACTCTTCTAACGGCATGGGTGATTTCGCTCCAGATCGATCTCCTCCTCGAGGTTCTCCTCCACCTCGTAACTTTCACAACAACCGTCGACTAGATCCAACCCAACCAGTGACACCAGCCGGTGACTGGAATGCCCATACTTCTGGATCTTTTGACAGAGAAGACCCCGGTCTTCGAAGAGACGAGTCAGCAACCGGACCTCCACAGAAACGGCAAAGGACTCGAAGCCCATCACCGCGTGGCGGTCGTGGCCCTCTCCCTCCCCCGCGTCCAAATTACTCCGATAATTGGGATATCCGGGATCGAAGCCCCTCATTCAAGAAACGAGGTGGCCGCAACCAAGGTCGTGGTGCTCCAAGGAGAAGATCACCACGCCGGGGCCGGGACCGTCGTGGAAAAGACCGTCGTCGTCCAGACATCCCACGCCCGGGAAGGTCTAGATCACCGGTTCATGAACGAGGGTTCCGTCCTTCGCTTGATCGACGGTCTCGCACCCCTGGTGGTGACAATCACAGCGACCACGGATCTCACTATCGGTCGAACTCACAGCACTCAGTACGGTCTGCAACCTCGAGATATTCTGAATCTTCTCGCAGGTCGAGGCGTAACTCGGCGATGAACACAAACCGACCAACCCAATCCGTTGTGGACGATACTGCTCGGCCTGCATCTCCACCGCGCCCGATTCCAAGTTTTGACTCTGATAACCTCGGTCATCTCGGAGAACACCGAGATGAGTTGCCAATACATGCGATGCGCTCTGATGGGAATAATCAGTCTCGCCATCGGCCGTCTCGACCACATCTTGATAGCCGGCCCTATGCAGACGCTCAAAACGGAACAACAGGCTCGTACCCCGGTTCGCCTCAACCACCTTCACCTTACTCCTCAGGAAGAGGAGGATGGTCGGGCCCGCCTCCGTGAGTTTTTGGATTGCTTTCACTTACATGTTACATTCTGAATTATACTAATCCTCTCTTCAAGTCATGCCTCCCCTTACAGGAACGATGACTATTCATCGCAAAATGGAAACTATTATCACAACCAAGGTCAATTTAACGGCCCTGGCAATAATCGCCCGCAATCTCCCTATGGCGGGCCTCCTCACCGAGGTGGCCACTCTGGTGGCGGTCATCGAGGGAACTTTTCAAACCAAGGTCCCGATCGGAGATTTTCTGGCTCTGGCCCTCATCCATACCATAATGGACCCTCACAACGCGGCGCGAGAAGTCATTTCAACAACTTGCAATGGACTGCTTCGGGATCACGAGGCCGTGGGGGACAACATAGTCCTCACCCGGCGCACATGGATGGGTCACAAACTCCCAGTCGACCGCAGTCCCACAATGAACCGCAATCACCCCGAGCCGGCGAAAGTGAACATCATCATTCCCGGCCCCCCACTAGGGATGAAGAGATGAACCAGGCACAACCTCAATCCGCCTGCGGGAATCCCCCATCCATGCCACCCCAAACTCACGAATCCAACGAAACAACGCCGGCAAACAAGGGCGGCAAATTTAGCTTTGCTTTCAAGTCAAAGGCTGCACCTTCTCCCGCCCCAAAGCCAGTACCTGACCTTGCCCAGAGGATGTTGCAGGTCCGCGAACCGGCCCCCCGTGCACCGGAACCACCCCAACAACCTCGCAATCGGTTCACCAATGGGCCATTGCCCAGATTTAAGCCAGACTCAAGGGCTGATCGCCGTGACCGAGATCGTGGACGAAATCGGGATCGAGACCGCAGAGATTTCCGAGAACCACGAGAATTCCGTGATCCACGGGACCGCAGAGATGATCGCCGGTTCGATCAACGTCGTGATCGGCGGCAAGGCGAACGGCCACCGGACAGGCCCTCAGACTGGCCAGATCGTCGCCGTGACCCTTCTCCGGAACCGCCAAGAGAACCATCACCACCCAAGCAAAAGCGGATTCTTACCCGTCCTAAACCACGTCCCACAATTCCCGCTGAGTTCGCTAATGCCGAATCTGTGTACTACCGAAAGCCAGGAAATGAGTCTGTGATCGGCGCTGGGACATATGGAAAAGTGTTCAAAGGAATCCACGTCTATACCCAACGTAAAGTTGCATTGAAGAAGATCCGAATGGAAGGTGAGAAGGATGGCTTCCCTGTCACGGCTGTCAGAGAGATCAAGCTGCTTCAACATCTTCGCAACCATAATGTCGTCAGCCTCCTGGAGGTCATGGTTGAAAAAAACGAATGTTTCATGGTCTTTGAATACCTTTCTCACGATTTGACCGGTCTGATCAATCATCCCACTTTCTCTCTGACTCTGTCACATAAGAAGGATCTGGCGAAGCAAATGTTCGAAGGTCTCAATTACCTTCACCATCGAGGAGTTCTACATCGCGACATTAAAGCAGCCAATATATTGATCAGCAACCGTGGATTGTTGAAGTTTGCCGACTTTGGCCTGGCCCGGTTCTTCTCCAAAAGTCGTCAACTTGACTACACCAACCGTGTCATCACCATCTGGTACCGGCCGCCGGAACTCCTCCTGGGTGAAACCCGATATGGCCCCGCTGTCGACGTGTGGAGCGCCGCTTGCGTTTGCATGGAGATGTTCACCAAAAAGGCTGTTTTCCCCGGTGAAGGTGGCGAATTGAGCCAGATAGACAAAATATACAATGCTTTGGGTACCCCTACCAAGACTGAGTGGCCGGACCTTGTGGAGATGCCCTGGTTCCACCTGATGCGACCCACAGAACGAAGGAAGCGTGTTTTTGAGGACGTATACTGCGATGTGCTGACAACCGGTGCGATGGATCTTATATCCTCGATCTTTCGCTACGACCCTTCAAAGCGGCCGAGTGCGGAGGATGTCCTTAAACATCCATACTTTGTATCGGAGGAACCAACCCCTCATCCGCCGATTGAGTACGTTTTCCCATGCCCCCGTTTGTATATGGCCCCTAATAACCTTTGTCTACAGATTGGAGCACGTTGAAGGCGACTGGCACGAGTTTGAATCTAAGGCGCTCCGTAAGGAAGCTCGGCGCGTCGAGTATCAGAACCAAAAGGATCGCGACAAGCGCAAGGCCGACACATCGGTGCCCAGCAGCGATCGGGATTCCAAACGAACCAAGCAGGATTCAAGTGATCGTGTCTCTGCGCAGTGATGACTCTTGCTTCGCGAATTATTTTATTATTTATTTTCTTGCTGTTTTAATGCATCGGACATGGTTGACATGATTGGTGGACTGGGGATTTACTTTTTCACGAGATTCACTACCCTAGGTACTCGGGGTTCTTTCGGGCTTGTTCTTGTCACATATTGCCCATTGATCAATAAAATTTAGATCAAAGTTATTTGTATGGTCAACTATGGATATCGAAACTGTAGATTCAACAGGTGGATATCATCTAGGTAAGCTAATGCATGTCGGTTCCAGTCCATCGGGCACTAAAAGAGACACCGATATAGCATATCCCAAAATATATTTCAAGGCTCAGACTTTGCCTGTTGACCGCATGCTCGACCAGCCCGTGAGCCCGGAGGCCAAAGTAGTAGGGCGGTTGAGTCCTCGGATTACCAGAGAGCTCAAAAGAGTTTCTTCATTGCGTTGAAATATAGAAATGGAAATAGAGATCGAAATGGATTGCTATTGAATACACGTACCCTATACTACATAGACAAAAGAGACAAAGAAAAGGATGTGCCGTCAATCAGGTCATCAACGTTTCATGGGTGGCTCGTAAGCCCTCGTGATGATGGTTTTAGATGCGATCATTTAATCTCGACACACACATCGGAAACGCCAGTGCTGTAAAAACAATGAGTCGCCAGCGTTGATTTGAGTTGGTGGTCTTGATATAAGAAGAAAAGAAGAAGAAGAAGACAAAAGCGAAAAACGAAAGAAAAAGGGAAAACTGGAAAAAAGACGGTGCGGGCTGCAGGCGAAAATGGGGCTGGCCGGGCGCTGATTGGCCAGGACAGCTGCTCCTCCAAACTGCAGTCGAGTCTCCGATTCATGTCGACACTTTTCCCCTTCACCTGATTCCCCCTCTATACCTCTGTTTGTCTGTTTCTCTATTGCTTCTTTTTACTCAAGCCTCATTACCCCCATAGTTCGATTCTTCCCGCTTTCTTTGTTTTCTTCTTTACCTGCATTACTCCCGAATTTCTTCTTCTTCGGAATTTCCCATCGGCCACTATACTACGTCACTGACACAATAGCGCCGACGTCTCCTTTCGCTGTGTAACGCTTCTTACGGATCCCCTTCTTTCCCCCCTGATGACCGCTCGTGTCTCGGGCAGTCTTCTCACCCGCCGCGATGGATAATGCAAACCTGTGGACCCGCCGGACAAAGTTAGTCGTGTGCCCCTCCTCACCCAGGTGACCATTGTAACTTATATGGCGGTTGTTTCTTCTCATTAGCTCGTCCAAGTTGTCCCTGTCAACGTCCGGAGCGGACGCGAAAGACGGTGCCCGTGTCGAACTGCCCCGCCTATCGAAGCGCTTCGGACCCGACAGCTCGCATGGCCGCTCGAATCCATTCAACGCAATATCCCCATTGTCCGGCGGAGTTTCTTCGCCATCCACCAATGCATCCTCCGCTTTTGGCCTGGGGTCCGGCGCATTCGCCTCATTCGGTGCGCCGAAGACTCCCGGTGGCTCCGAGTTGAAAACACCCGGACGGGAGTCGCACTTGGAACACGACGAGGCCACTCGCAAGGCCTTTGAGAACCACTCCGTTGCTGCTCCTGGTGAGCACCCGTTGAAGTCTACATGGATTGTCTGGTATCGCCCTCCGACACCCAAATACTCCGACTACGAAAAGTCCACCGTGCCACTCGCTTCGATATCTTCCGTAGAGAGCTTCTGGGCAGTATACTCTCATCTTAAACGCCCTTCGCTTCTTCCCACGGTTTCCGACTACCACATCTTCAAGAAGGGGATTCGCCCCGTCTGGGAAGATGAGGCGAACAAGCGGGGAGGTAAGTGGATCGTACGTTTCAAGAAGGGGGTTTCCGATCGTTACTGGGAGGATCTCCTCCTGGCGATGGTTGGGGACCAGTTTGCGGAGGCTGGGGATGAAGTCTGCGGCGCTGTGCTGAGCGTCCGAGGCGGCGAAGATGTTTTGAGTGTTTGGACGAGGATTGACGGGGGGCGCAACATCAAGATCAGGTATGTAAAAAAGTCTGTTTTAACTCATCATATTACCGGTATATCTAACTTGGTTGCAGAGAAACGATCAAGCGCCTGCTTTCTTTCCCGGCAGACACTAACATCATCTGGAAGAGCCACGACGATAGCATTGCACAGCGCTCTGCCATCGATCAGGCTCGCCACGACAAGACTGCCACTGGCACGGGTCATCAAGAACGGCGGCGTACAGGTCAAGATGACTCGGATAAGGTCAAAGTGCCTGTGGCCCTATAAGAGGATCCAAGATTCCAGCTGGCCTTGGCCCCTGTATAGTAAACCCGAAAAAAAAACCTTCAATCACGAATCATTGGGACGCGTTTGGGTCTTAGGGCGGTGGGGCATCGAGGCGAACTAAGCGGTTTGGTTTGATTATTTATGCTCTGTGCTATGTGTTTTTCTTTTTTTTTTTGTGTCTGCCGAGCTTATGCGTGATGTTTTCCTTTATGTACGCAACATGAATGCAGCATTGGCTGCAATTGGTTTTCTCGCCTGGTTTGTGTGGTGACTTGATTCGTTTGATGTGAAGTAGAGCCCTTTTCACTTGGACTTGGCCGAGCTTAGCGTCAGGGCTCTGACAGATACTCCGACTAGAACTATGTATGCACAAGCCAAACAAAGGTAATAGTGCATGGTCCGGGGATCTGGGTACAAGAACCAATGTGCAAGCTAGAAGCCCTGATAAGTATGTATTGGGTTGTATTCACGCTATTGGGTATTAGGGCATTGTGCTATTGTGTTGAATAGTATCAATCCAAAAGGTATGAACAAAGTGAATCATTCAACAATACAACTGACTTATCTATTCATCTATTGATTGATCTATTGATCTATTCCAAGATAGTTAGTTAGTTATCAAGAATGAAACCTGCATGCCTAAAGCCTCAGGCGCCAACCAATGCTCACCGCCCTAGGACCAGATGACGATGCGGCGTGCTTGCTCCGATGAATGAGAAGAAAAAAAAAAAGACAATAGACAAACAATCAATTGAATAGGATCTATGCAATGCATATTGTCATGACACTGTGGCTGCCTTCATGCCTGTGTTTAAAAACTTAGTCGAACTCTTCTCTAGCTTGTCACCACGACGCAAACGTGAGACCGAAGATCAACGATCTGCTCTTCAACGGGCACAACCACCGCTCTCGACCCCTCCTCGTTCTCGACCAGCTGGGTCTGGTCGTAATCCTTTTATCCTGGCACCTGACGAACCCGATCTGACCGAAACCACATCTCCCCAGAACGCTGCGATCGCTCCTCTTTCAACGGTGTGTATCTCCCGCTATCTCGATTCTCCATGCGTCTTAGCCGTCTATGCTCCTTTTTGATAACTCGACCCTGCACAATTTCCTCGCATTGGGCACTTATCTCTTGGCTCCGCATGTTTTCTTATTGCAAACTACCTTCGGGTATTTGACTTGGGACTAATCTCTCTTATCAGGTTGTTCATAGTTATGTCGATTCTTTTTCGTCTCCAACTGGATCTACAACCGCAGAAGAACCATTGCGCACACGTTTCTCCCACCCTTCTCTGAGTCCCATTACCCGGTTAGACATGTCCCGACGAAACCCACAGAACTCCCCTGCCGGCAGGCCAGAGCTGATGTCCTCATCCATTCCCAGGCCGGGTGATTCGTCGCAAATGTTGAACAAGGACCAGCAAACGGATTCCCAGAATCGGAAAGATGAGGCTCGGTTGCTTGGAGGCAGATACCAGTATGTCCTAAGTGTGTGTGTTGAGTTGTTCGAGATGTTGTTGCTAACCAGCTGGCTTTTTGCTTGGTAGTGACTCTAACGCTGTCAAGATAAAGCTCGGAGCATCCCTCAATGCTCGGAAAAAGATTCCAGGGGTAAGTTTCCGCCTTTATATGAATGGATATGGCATGTCTAATCCTCGGTCATAGTCTACCTTCGCGTTCTCCCCCCGGGACAAAATTTCACAGAATCAAAATACCCGAAGCAGCGGGCCAGTCCGTTCTTACGGAGAACCAAATCAACAAACTTCCCGGAGAAAGTCGCCCCAACTCGAGGATGAGTTTGAAGAGTCGAATCGACCTACCAAGATGCGGCGCCAGAGTAAAACCAACGAAACCGTCGACCTTACGGCCCCAACGAAATCAGCCAGAAATCGGTTGGAACAGGGACTCTACCGCCACCCAAATGCAATTCGTCGCAACCGACTTGAAGGTTCCAGGGACGCGGAGGATAGCGTCAAAGGAGCTGCGCAAAGCTCTAATCGTCCTCGACATGACCAATTATCTTCCGTTGACTCTCGGGATGAAATGTTTACCGAAACAGCAGCACAGCAGCGACGAAATCAGGCGGATTCCAGGTTGTCTAACGTAAATGGCAAATTAAACCAGGCTGCAGAGGCCGTTGTTATTGGGAGCATTGAGGTTAGACCAAAGAGAGCTGATCGGAACCGCACTGCAGTTCCTACGAGCATACATCGTCCTGTCAACGGCAGAGAAAGTCCAGACGAGCTTCAGGGGGATATCACCACACAACCAGTACCGAGATCCTTATCGGGAACACAACTCCAAGCCACTCGCCCATCCAAACCCGAAATTCACATAGAAACATCGACTCGAAAACGCTCTCCGTCCGCTACCCGAAGTCCAGACTTTTCGCCGCCAACACCGGTCATGAAGAAGGTTAAGATATCTCAAAAGAACTCCGATAAGATACACCTAGTGCGATATTTCCGAATCGGCACCTTCGGCAAATCTTGCGATTCGAGGCAATTCGTCCCAATTTATCTAACCAAGGATGGCTTTGAGCTTCGTGAGAATGCACTCGGCCAGGGTAACACGATATCAATACCTTTTCACGAAATCCGTCAAATTGTCGTCGGCGAGACGCCTAGCCGAAAAGTGAGAATCAAAATGTTGCAGAGTGCCGTCAAAGAAGACGATCAGCTTGACGTTGAGTTCTGGACCACCGACGAAAAGAGAAATTTCCTGGAAGTGTTGAAACAGGCGAAACAGGCCCAGCGTCCCACCAAAGATATGTAAGTTTTGTGGGCTATCTCTTGGATCAGTTCGCGATTCACTAACATTGCAATAGGAAATGGATGGACAAGGCGTTTTTGAAGTATGAAAAACAATTTCCACGGGAGAACAAGCGGCCTAAGAAGCGGCTACTTGATGACTTGGTGGACGATCCCGATCCTGAGCACTCTCCTCCTCCTTCGCGACGGCCCAAACTTTCAAAGTCCTTGAGAGATGACCATGGTGAAGTCAACAATGTCAATTCACTTGAGATCAAATGCGCCGCTCAAGAAAAAGTAAAACATGGAAACGGCAATGTTGATTCTCGAACGTCTGCCAAAGAACAACAGAATTCTCGACCTCTTGATACCGATAGTGGAGCTGATAGTCGATTTGAACGCGAGACCCGCTCTTCTACCCGCCGTGGCGCTAAAAAGCTGTCAAATGGAGACGTTACATCTGAAGCAAAGTCGAATTTATTTCCCAGGGATGATTCTTTCAGGAAAAATTGGAAGAAACCGTTGGTGTATCCGCGAAATGGAAAGAAGAAGGCTGAGGTGACACTCGTTGATCGAGAACGGCTACTGAGGGACGACTTCCTGAACGATAACCTCATTGCTCTCTACATGCGCTTCCTCCAGGATCATCTTGAACGCACCAACAAAGAGGCTGCCAAGAGGATCTACTTCTTCAATACCTACTTCTTTGCGACTCTCACGAATACCCCACGGGGGGACCGTGGGATCAACTACAGTGGTGTGGAGAAGTGGACTCGGAACGTCGATCTCTTCAGTTATGATTATATCGTCGTTCCTATCAACGAGAATGCCCATTGGTACGTTGCAATCATTTGCAACTTGCCAAGCTTGTCCCTTGGTTCTGCTGACGCCGTAGAGTCGGTTCGAAGACCGGCTCTCCAAAAAGAATCATCCAATGCGTCTGAGAGTGAGATCCAGGAAATTGAGGAGACACCTGAGCCGGAACTAAGGTCAAAGTCAGAGCTCAACGGTTCTAGTGAAGCCAACCAACCTCGTGAGATTCGAGAGGGATCTGAGACCAGGGGGCAGACTGAGGGAGATGAGCATGCGATGAAGCCAGAGGAGCAGTCCGCATCCGACAACCCACTTCCACCCCCAAATCTCTCCAAATTCGCAGGCCAAAAGCTCGCCCAGGACCAGGCCGCGGCGTCACAACCGACAACCAAATCCAAGAAGAAAAGAAGTGGGTTAAAGTTAGATCCGAATCAAACTACGATCGTCACGTTCGATTCCCTTGATATGCCTCGCTCCCCCACCATCAAAATTCTCCGCGAGTACATCTGCCGCGAAGCGGAGTCTAAACGCGGCGTCGAACTTGACCCGAACGACGTCAAGGGCATGCGAGCTCGTGATATCCCCCTTCAGCCTAATTTCTGGGACTGTGGTCTTTATCTACTGGCATATCTAGAGAAGTTTGTGCAAAGCCCGGATTGGTTCATCACGAAGGTACTACAGCGGAGCATGAATTCTGTCGATGACTGGCCTCCACTAGGTTCTGGTCTCCTGCGATACCGCTTTGGCAAGTTTCTCGATGATCTATACGAGGAACAGCGGCAAGCCGGTGAGCCTATCATGGCAGTCAGACGGCCTATTTCATTCCTGCTTGGCCCGCCTCTTCCTTGTCAGGACGAAATTGCGGATGTTGATGTGGTACCTGAGTCTCAGCATGAGACAGATTCTTCAAAGGACATTGCGAAACCTGTCAATTCAAAGATCGAAGACTCGAGCGAAGATTCAACCGCGGAGCAAATGCATCTCTTACCTACCGAAAACCTCCCGAAACCAAAAGACCCGAAACCGAAAACATCACCCTCCAACCCACCTGCAGATGCGAAGTCGCAAAATGACCATGTTGCTCCAGCAAAGGGGGAACCCATCATCCAAGTACCCGGTAGCCAGGAAGAGCCCGAAGTGCCAGGCACACCGTCCCCTAAGAAAAAAGAACGAAGGAAACACGGCCATTCGCGAAAGAGATGAATCTGTTCATGCAAGTGATACAGTTATTGTCAAGACGATATCAACACAGTACCGGCTGGACCGGGACTGACCATCATGAATCCAAATATGTTCACTATTGATTTAGCGTTTAACCCATGTACGCAGCATGGCAAACCCTGCGTCAGCGTTCGATGAAAGAAGGATGGTGTTGTTTTTTCTTCGTGTCTTTAATGGTCATAGCATAAGATACCATCACCTACATCGAAATGCAAATTTAATGTCTTTTCCGAGAAAATACCAATAATATATGTAACTACCACTCACTCTCATCCGCCTGAACCCACCACGCCATTTTATCCCTCTTAAACGACTCAAAATCCCACTCCGAATCCTCAAGCATATCCTTCCCAGCAGTATAAACATAAGTCATAGCCAAAACTTCCTCCCCCTCAGCCGCAACCTCAGCGCCGGTCGTCGCATTGAGCATCTCGCGCAGCTGGTTCTCAGCAGCACCCTCGCTAGAATTAACGTGGTCACCACCCACCACAGCCTGCAGCGTGCGCACAGTAACCCGTTTCTTCTCATACTCCGATCCCTCAAATCTGTCCAGTCGGTGAACGTCGCCGTCTGTTAGTCCCGACACGAGTGTTCCTACGACGGACGTCCCAGCGCTGGTTTTCGGTGCAGATAAATTGGTCTCGGTTTCTGTCTCTGGCACCGCCACGATCCCGGGGTAATCGGCGTTCTGCACACGATGCCGTCGGTACCCTTGTAGAATGGCGGGTTGGAAGCGGAGCATGGCTTTTTGCCAGGGCTCTGGGTTCGCCTGGCCGTGGATTACTCTGTGGAGGATTTGGGGCGCCATTAGGGTTCCTGGGTAGTTTAGTTCTCGGTTTCTCTTGATTCAAGAAGGACTTACCGTAGAAGAAGAGGACGTGGTCGCCCATTGTGTATGGTGTGGGGTCGGGTTGGTTATTGCGTGGGGATCGAGGGAGGTTCCAAGATAAGAAATTCTATAGAGCTTGAGGTAAGGTAATATGTATATTCGCAAATTCAGTAGAAGCTTAGAGTATAAAGAGAATCACAAGACAAGAGAAGAGAGGAACGAAGCCATGAGAGTTGTGTTTATTGCGGAGATGACGAGTTTATAGATGCGCTTATCGATAAGACCCCAAGATCCAAAGGCCCAGCTGGCTTCATCTTCCCAATTCGTCCCCCAACACACCATGCATTCCTCCCTGAACCGCATCCAGGCCGTATTCGGCTTCTTCACTACAGTCGCGCTGGTAGTCAGCGCACTGGCAGCCGTCTCGGTCCTCTTCTTCCCAGCAGACGAGACCAATGCCTCCGTGCAGCTGAAGAACGTGCAGGTGTAAGTGAAGTCGCGATTTGCAGCCCTAAGACTTCGCAAAAGCCCCCCATTTACTAAGATCCGATTTCGCGGTATAACAGCGTCAAAGGCCGACCGCACTACTACTCCACTAAACGCGAAGAATACGCCCAGTTCCGCTTCGACCTCGACGCAGACCTCAGCCCGCTCTTCAACTGGAACACGAAACAGCTCTTCGTCTACGTGTACGCTACCTACTCCTCCTCCGAGAACCCCGACTCGCAGGTACGCCTCTCGGAGTCTATCATCTGGGACACTATCATCCCCGCGACCCCGTCGCCGTATTCATGGGAGATCCTCAAGGATAAGGTCATCGCGCTTCTCCCCGCGGCTGTTTTGTCGGATTCTGTCGCCGCTGCACAGAGGAACGCTAAGCGCCATGCTAAGCCGCCTAAGAAGGCGAAGAATAAGAAGGCGACCGGTGTCCTGAGGCTGCGTGGCCAGAAGGGTAAATACCAGGTCAGTGATATTACCGGTCGGCTGGCGGAGCGTCAGAATGTTACCCTTCATGTTGGGTGGAATGTTCAGCCGTGGGTTGGTGCTTTGTTCTGGGCGCCTGGTACGGGTGCTGTGCCCAGGACTGCCGGTACGATTGTCAGCAGTGAGCCTTTTGCTTTCCCTGAGGAGAAGACTGCTGCTGAGAAGAGAGCTAAGGAGGCAGCCGAGGAGGCGGAGAAGGTGAAGGTGGAGAAGGCGAAGGCAGAACAGGCCAGTGTATAGGCTTTGATTGGGTCTGTTGATATAGGGAGTTAGGATCTACCTTTTTTTGTTTACTTTTGGGAGCTTTGGCTCGCCTTATACGGTTGCATTTTGGGAATGATACATATGAAACGCATCATCATTGGATAGTGCAAACACAGCTTTGTCATTTCATTTTTTGTTTTAGGTGTCCGGTTACACCATGAAGAACAATGGTCGACGCTATGGATACAGCAGAGGTAAGACTCGATTAGGTTTAACGTCATAGAGAATGCCGACCGTGGACAGACTAAGACAAGCATCTCGAACAAGATAGTCCGGAGTTCGTCCAAAGCAAATCAAATGGTACCGTAATTAACGCCTGCGGGTGGTGCATGATGATGACCTCCGTTCTGGATTCGATCGGAGTAGACGCCGGGTGCGGGTTGTTGAGAGGCACGAGTCAACGGATCCCGATTGCGACGATCATAATAAACGTATTCCAAATAGAAGGCATGGATGTGTCCGGGGAAGTAACTGGGAGATATCGCTGGTTAGTTGTGGAATGTAACGGGAAGTCTGGATGTATAGCACTCACCCGAGAAGTGTGAGCAGGAGGTTGATCCAGAAGTCAACTCCGCAGCCTGAAATCATAAAAACACCAAGAGGGGGAACTGTTTGGTTCGTTAGCAGATCATTCTGGTGGATAGGTTGGTAGATCGAGGGGCGGTGGATCACTGTGTGGGGATGGGTTTTGTGGTAGCTTTTGATGTAATTTCCAACAGCAGAGGTGTTTACTTACTGAATATGGTGATGATGATCAAACAAAGCATGGAGCAAGTGCCGGCCATGATTGCGGTGATGTTTGATGTAGGTGTTACTGTTCAGGTTTGGTAGATCGAGGCTTGAAATCGGTAGTGGCCAAAAAACTAAGAAGGAGAATTGCAAAGAGGAGGATGAAGATATAAATAGGGGTGTTGTCCTCGGCGGGAGAGTTGTTGCGTTTCATCTTGATCTTGGCCACGACGTCACAAGGTCTGAGGGAACTCGTACATAGGGCTGAGGCAGCCGTGAAGCTGATTTGCTGGCTGAGTACATCATGACGTCATCTATAGCTGGCACCTGGACACCGCCACATGCCACGAGTCAATACGTGGCTGGTGGCTGTACAGAGACGGCAAGTACAATTGACGGGCACGTACATTGAACGGACTTGGAGAAGATGTAGAGGTACTGGGAATATATTTCCTGTGATATCCCCAGTATCAGGTCCTAAACCGCGTCAATCGCCGCCCGAGTTGTAACCTGCTCGTTCTTGTTGCCGAGCTTCGAGAACTGCAAGAATGCGTCCACTCCATACCCTTCCAGACTGTGCAGTTCTAAACTGCCTGCCCAATATTCAGCATAGACTCGGCTCATAGGGAGACCCATCCCTAGACGGAGATTGGGCGGTCGGGATGTCAATGTGTCCAGGGATCCCTCATGGTATGATTCTCGGTCGGTGTGTTTACGGTCGTGTGACACTTGCAGTTCTTGCATCGTCGCCGCCATTGCGGGCACCTGTCCGAGATTTTCCAGCCGTGTTTGCGTGCGAGGACCTTTGCTAAAAGACCACAGATACGGCAGAATCTCTCGAGGGATTCCTCCTCCTTGATCAGATATGCGCATGATCACATGCTGCGGGGTCTCGCACACGAGCACTTCGATAGGGGGTGGGGGTTCGGTTGAATCCTGATACCGCTCCATCACTGCCTGCACCGAGTTTCGGAGAAGTTCTCCGATGATATATTCCAAGTGGCTCAATATATATGGGAAGGTCGCGTCGGCATGGCCCTTCACGACGATCGCGGGGATCTGGGTCGACCCCGATATCTTCTTCATCAGATCTTGTGCGACCTTTCCACAATCCTCGATTACCTCCTTCGCCTTGCACTTTAGGAACACTTCGCCGACAAATTCTGCATTGATGTCGGTTCGGTCGTGGGAATCGGGGAAATGCCATGGTGAGTTGAAAGTTTCGGTCAGAGCTAGGTGCTGCTCTGCGATGACTCGGCGAGAGATTCGCTACCGATAAGATACTTGTCAGCTAGGAGGCAGGCCAAAGGTCGACCTTACATACCGCTCGCAGAAGTGTGTTCATTAACCGGTCCATTTCGTCCGCTGGGGCGAGATTTCGGCATTCCAGCACGCCTATCGCCAGGTTGGGAATTGCAACCAGATGTTCTCGTAGCATTTCCTTCAGGATGTCACAGAAACGGTCATTATCGTCAAGCGTCTTAATCTCAGGAACCACCCGAGCCCTCTCGAATGCTTTGTAGTACAGTTCGTATACAAGGGTGAGATGGGGGTTGGCAACTACCACATATGGCAGCTGCTGGATGTCTCGCAGACGATGCGCAAGGCTGTCGATGACCCTGATCAGCCTTTTATTTTCTAATTCTGCAATTGACTCTCAACTTACCGAGTAGGAAGCTCGGTCCGCACGTAGTTTGCGGAGCTGATAAGTCGTGGTTCGGTCAAAGTACGACCAAAGAAGGTCAACTGACGAAGACTGATAGGTCGAATAGCTCGCTCCACCCATCTGCCAGTATATCCTAATTAGTATCCCCGGTTCAAGCATCGGAAATGTGAGTCATCCATACTCATCTACTGCAGAAACTGGCCGCCATGGCGGCGGGCTGTGAGCTCCAGAATAGAGGCGTTTCAAGGGGGATTGGAGGAGCTGCCAGCGTCTAGCTGGATAAGACAATCTCATTGTGCTCCATGGACTTATTCAATAAGTGACAGACCATAGAAGTGCTCACTATCTTGTGCGTGCGCGTAGTTGGGACTTCAAGAGTTTGGGGTTGCCGGGCGGTGAGCCAAGCATGTGACACCGACACAAGGCTTGTTATGGCAAGATCTGTTTTTTGCTGTCTAGATCGGGATATATCTCGATATATATGGAACGTTCTAAGACTGCAAATGCCAATGTCATACGATCTGGATTCTCGTCCGAAGATGCCTCGGGTATAAGGCACTCGCACGGACTGGGGCTAAGCTCGTGGGCCCTTTCCAAGGTTGGATCATCTGAGGGCCACGGCATATTTAGTGATTGAGAGCATAATTAAAGAAGTATATAGAGCTTGCAGAACTTAAACGTATTTAGGTCGCTATCTATATCACCGCTAAATCGGCCCGGTATAAAAATAGGGCTTTTCTTCACCGTATACTTCGCATCTAGTCACTCCTGCATACATTATTGCACACTGCCAACTAAGCAAACTCCTTTTAGTTCCAATTCAAAGTGAGCGACAAGTTAGAGCTCAGTAAAAAAAGCTGTCAACTGCAGAAATCAAGCACATCAAAGACTGTTTTCACAGACATCATCCACCAATATCACTGCCGAGCCCTCGAGGCTCCGCCACCGCTAGCTCCGGCCCTTATTATTTTGCGGGTTCAGACGAATTTCCTCCACCACCAGCTCTACAGTGTATTTCTTGCCAACATTCCGTCTTCTTATTCACAAAAATTTCCTCAAAATACAACCTCTGACGCCTTCCGGGACGGGAAGGCGCTTTCCGCGATGGAAAACGTAAGAGATTCCCCGACCGTGCCCCTCGCTAGTGTCGTCATTGGATCTAACCCTGCTCTAACAGCTCGCGGAGAACGACATGCTTGTCGATGAGTACGATCAATACCCTGCCGAAAAGACCGATGTCGTCGTCGTATCCCGCTCGGGGTCCGACGAGCCTGAGTCCGCGCCGACCGCAGATGACCGTATGTTCTTTGTTGCTTCTCCTTCCTTACCACAAGCAAGAGGGCTGTTTGACGGGTTAGCTAGGCAAAGCATGGCACCCGAATGAGATCGCCCTCACGCTGTGCACTGCCTCTTTGCTTATTTGTGCTAAGCGGTCGCTAACCAAGAGCCCCGGTGGATATAGATGCGGCGATGATGGCAAAGGTCCTCCCCCACAACACGGACCTCGAAACCCTAGACGAGGTCTATAACACATGGCGCTTGTCAGACTGGCGCAAGATGGAGCGCAAGTCGCACGGACCCGTCTTCCGATGTGGTGGTTCACCTTGGTGAGTGCTTGAAAACTCTTTGCCTGGATTGGCTCCATGGCTCTGTGCCGGCATTGAATCTGACACGGAAATAGGCGCATCCTCTTCTTCCCCTACGGCAATCAGACCGAATTCGCCTCGTTTTACCTCGAACATGCGTGGGAGAACGGACCCCCGGAGAACTGGTACGCTTGTGTGCAGTTTGCGCTGGTGTTGTCGAACGTGAACGATCCTTCCATTTATACACACCATAGTAAGATATTCAATTCCGGAGGAATCGCTTGATCAAAACGCTAAGTCGAATTCTAGTTGCAACACACCGTTTCACCGCCGAGGAAGGGGACTGGGGTTTCACTCGATTCTCCGACCTCAAGGGCCTGTTCAGCCATCCGTGGGAGGGAAAATCCGTCCCGTTGGTGCAGGATGACGAGGCAATTGTCACGGCCTACGTTCGTGTAGTGAAAGATCCCACGGGGGTCTTGTGGCATAGTTTCCAAAAGTGTGTTTTTTCCGCGAGGTTTGACCCGAGTGAAGCTAACTTTCTCTTTTTAGTTATGACTCGAAGAAGGAGACTGGAATGGTGGGATTGAGGAATCAGGGAGCCACATGCTACCTGAACTCACTGTTGCAGTCGCTCTATTTTACAAATGCTTTCCGCAAGGTATGAAAGGGAAAAGTTCGATTGCTCCCGAATTATGGAGACTAATGAAACTCGTTAGGCTGTGTACCAAATACCGACTGACCAGGAAGCTTCGCGTGAAAACAGCGCGTGGGCGCTCCAGAGACTATTTTACAACCTCCAGACCAATGATGTTGCTGTTTCCACAACCGAGCTAACCGCATCTTTCGGATGGCAATCGAGTCAGATCTTTGAGCAGCAAGATGTACAGGAGCTCTCGCGAAAACTCATGGAAAGATTGGAGCACAAGATGAAAGGTACGATTGCCGAAAAAGTTCTGCCGGATCTGTTTGTCGGGAAAACAAAAACGTACATTTCTTGCATCAATGTCGATTACGAGTCTTCTCGTGTGGAAGACTTCTGGGATATTCAACTCAACGTTCGAGGCAACAAGACCTTGGATGACAGCTTCAGGGATTACATTCAGGTCGAGACCCTGGAGGGGGAGAACAAGTACGAAGCTGGGCAGCCATACGGTCTGCAAGACGCTAAGAAGGGCGTTATTTTCGAGAGCTTCCCTCCCGTTCTGCATCTTCATCTCAAACGTTTTGAGTACGACCTCAACCTCGACATGATGGCCAAGGTCAATGATTATCACACATTCCCTATGGAGTTCGATGCAGCTCCTTATCTTTCTGAGAGCGCCGACAAGTCGGAATCCTGGGTTTACCAATTGCACGGTGTCCTCGTCCACAGCGGTAACCTCGATGCCGGGCATTACTATGCCTTCCTCAAACCCACCAAGGATGGACACTGGTACCGCTTTGATGATGACCGAGTCAACCGAGCTACTGACAAAGAAGTCCTGGATGAGAACTACGGAGACTCCCAGCAGCGCACGAACGGAGCGACTGGAGGACGGTCCGCTATCCGCACAAACAACGCCTACATGTTGGTCTACATCCGGAAGACAAGACAGGATCAAGTATTATTACCGGTCACAAAAGATGATGTGCCCTCCCACATCGGTATGTTAAGAGATTTTCGTTCTTAGGAGAATCGGACGGCTGGCTAACTATGGAATAGAGAAGCGTATGTCAGAGGACCGGGCGGAGATGTTGCGTCGCAAGAAAGAAAGAGAAGAAGCCCACCTTTACATGAATGTCGGCGTCCTTGACGGGGATT